TTCAGAGAATTCCGGAGCAGATATGGAAGACGGATTCAAGATCATCACCCAAGGACGCATCAATCGGTATACATTCACTTTAACGGTTCCTTTCAGCAACCACTCTTCCCTTGTAAATAATACTACAGAAGTACCAGCAATGCAGAGGCCAATGATACCAATGTTCCCCTTACAATAATCGGTTTCTTTTTTCAGCAACATCACATTTCTGGAACTATTCGAATATTCAATATTCGCATATCAATTTCATGGTTTCATGCGTGCGTCCTGTGTATGATAAACAGGAGTGCGCCGTGCGTGCAGGGGTGAAAAACACCTATTACAGATAAGTATTACACAGTTTTAGGTTTACTGTTGGTGTGATTAAGAAGTGCCCAGCGCTAAACTGGCGATAGAGTTACGATCGGCGAATAGAAAGGTAGTTCTCAGGTCACACTTGAGCAAATAATCCACCAAACACATGCAGGATCGAACCTTGACCCAGCTTGCACTCAATAATCGATACAGGGCAGATGTTCGTGGCAAGCCGCACGCGTTACTAATCATAGGTTACAAAACGCTTCGTTCCGGCGCTCTACCCCAGAAATCACAGCCCACCAACCCATAGTTCCTATCACTAAATAGCCCATCAACATATATTGACCAATATTGAGGTACAATCTGAAATGACGATAAAGGTCACAGAAGGGAGCAGTTCAAAGGTTCCTCACCTGACTTATGTTGTCATTGTCTACCAATTAACCAAAATACGTCGTGAGTTCTACGCATTAAGCCCTTCCCTCAAAATGTACAGAATGAAGGCACTACCACGATCAAAACGTACGTCTAAGTCTAAGAACAAATCCAAAAAAATGTTGACAAGTTGCGCTATGTCAAAGTCGAGAACGTGGGGGGAAAACCCTCATTGTAATTGTTTCGCTTGTTCTGTGTATTCCAAACTTGTTAGATGAAACACATTACACTCGAATGGTTCTCCCACCTACCAGCCTTCACATTTTTTGAAAATTCCTAGATTGCGATAACGTTGGATTTATTGGGGAAAACTTCGCACTGCGCGAAAACCAGTTTCCTGTGTCTCATTCGAATGCCCGAGAATGCACCTAAAGCAGATCCCTTCGTGGAACAAGAGTGGGTGGTGGTTGCTTTAGCGCACATCAGCTTCATCTCTGGATATGCCATGCACTAGGCTCCCACGCAGGGTAGCGGGATTGCAACTCCTACCCGATGTCTGTCCATGCAAGCAAATGTGTTCATTGGCAGCGTTTAGACTTCGCCACGGCAGCGCTTCGGCGGCGCGATTCGACGACCAATGCGTACACTTTCGATCGCACCGGTCTCGAACGCGAGAGCGAAGTGCTGCTGCCGCGAAGTGTTGACCTGCCATAGTATTCAGAAGGTAGATGACCTACCCAAGGACTTGTTTAATTTGCACTGCGTGGTCATCTGCGTCCCCACGAACTTATGTCAATGTTTAAATAGTCGGTTTGACAATTCGCTTTTTTTTGTGGTGCGACTAACACCTTTGCACGGTTTGATGTTGACTGCCCCGACTGCCATTACGACTGCCACCCCACCCCAACGGTGAATAACGACCCTCCTCCCCTCCACCGAGGAACCCCTAACGATGCTGACCTCTGAGCCGACGTCATCTTCTGCTCCCCCCCCCCTCGACCCATTGTTAAATCACAGCATCGGTTTTCACTGTCACTATGGCACTGCGCATAACATCACTAATAACTAATGGAAGGAATCGCACTTTTCACTCACTCAACGTTCTCCCTTCACACCGTGTTCACCCCTGCACCAGCAGGTGCCCAACATAATGGCTGCAATCGCGCAGCTTCTCATTTGCTCAGCCCTACTTCCGGCACATATCAGACCGATGTGTCAACAGTAATCAGTCACTTCGTCGCTATGCAACACACTACGTGGGGGTAATGCTGCCGCTCTCCCCCCTTCTCTGCCACATCCTATTTCTTCCTGTACACTGCTTCATCATCGTAGTCATTTCATATCAACCGTGTGAGAGAAAGACAAACTCCTCCACCAGTTGTTGAAGCGGGCAAGTGACAATACTGTATCATATCCTTCGTATTACTCGTTTTCTACCACTTCGCATGCGCGTTTCAACAAGAAGGCAGAGAACGGCTTTGACGGGTGACACACTCATACTGGCTGACACGCCCAACCGTCCGCAGCGAACTAGAGTTTAGATTAAAGGCAGAAACCGCGATGAGCCAGCGAGAAATTCATCGTTGGTATCAGGGTTAGAAATAGGCGTACGTATCTACTGACTCGTAAAGCAAAAAAGAAGCGTACGTATCTACTGACTCGCGAAAAAAGCACCCGAAAACGTTTGAAAAGGCTCTTGTGCTTCGTGCGAGTCAACTAGCACGTACACTCCTGCTTTTAACCCCGCTACCAACAAAAGCAACTCATATCATGAACTAAACACACAAATCAAAGAATGCTTTATTCAAAAATGACCAAAATGAAAACGTCACTGGATCGTTCCAAACTGACGTAGTTTCGAAGTTTTGCAGTTGTTACGTAGTTTTGTCACATAAAAATTACGCTTGACACTTTGATCCAATGAGCTGAAAACGAGACCCGCCCTTTCAAATGTTCTACTTCATAAGAAGCATCGAAAACCTCACAAACCGCACATATGTCGTCGCGTCGGCGAGAATAACAACATGGAGCGCTGTGCTAGACTCTTATCTCAAGGAAATCTTAATGAACGTATACGTCTAACCTGCATTATATCGGATCCACGTAGGTAACTGAAGAGTTGCATTGCTAAAGGTTTGCTAAGGTAAGGTACCTCAACATCAAGAGCTGAGTTGACCAACCCTCTAATTCACTAAATATTAGTAGGGGCAAACTACGAACATCCCACGTATCTACCACCCAATGTGAAATACGAACCAGTTGCTCCCCATATCACCATGATGACGAACCGGATGCTTGCCAAATGTACCATGATTGCTGGATATGGAGTCGCACATTTTTCACAGGTTGGACAAAAAGTCAGACGACACACAAAAGCTCCGATATCACTCTAGGGAAAATGGGGGCTTCTTCGAACGTTTGATCCCTAATTCTAGGCTGAGATTTTTCCAGACGACCGACTCATAACGGCTTCGAGCAAGTCGTGGGGAATAAAATCTTTTTGGATCAGCTTTGCATGACCACTTCACTGAAATCGCGACCGTTTAGTTAACCCTATGGAGGGATGTGCAGCCGAGAAAAACACCACAATTTGGCAATAACTTGGGCTCATGTGAAAACTGTCAAGCGTCGCCGCAAACCTGATGGGGGAACATTTTCGTTATTTAGCACCCACTGCGCCAGTCTAATGAGGCGAACCAAACAACAGTGGGAGTCTCCCTCTTTCCTTTCACGCCGGAAGGACCTTTGAGTCAGATCGGTGCGAATCAAAAAAATATCTGCATGAGGCTACGTTCATTTTGCGTAAGCCTCCACCAGCGACTGGGAAAGTCAGGTTATCGATCTCGCGAATACAAGAGCCTGTCATCGTTTCGAAGAACTAGGGAAGTATAAGTATCGATCTAGCAAAGCCAGCGTCCACCAGCGTAAAGCAGCGTTTTCGCGGGGTTGTTTAAAAAGGCCCGCGAAAACGCTGCCTCTGCTGGACGCTGGTGTTCACTACATGGATACCTATACTCTCTTGGTTCCTCCAGACGCTGGCGGATGCTAGGTTCGCTAGATCGACAGCCGCTAACTGTGGCACTCAAAACGCTGACGCAAAGTACGAGGCAGCCTGAAAATGGATGATATTACGTTGGAGATGCTGTGTTCGAGAGTAACCTCCAGCCCTTTTCAACTCTACTTTCTGCTCTACGGGAAACTGGCAAACGAATAGGCAGATGTCTTGGTCACAGATGTGGCTAGCTCGTTTGTTGATATCATCCGTCAGAAAAGAATGTTCGTTCTGAATATTCGTCCAAAGTCGCAGGACTTTTCGCCCAACCTGATAAACAAAGTAAGCGGCACAAGTAATTTCGCTTACCCACACCATTCTGGTAATTCTCGTACTGCTTTGGAATGATATGCGCTATCGTGAAGAGGCCCGGACACGGCACGCGTTGCTGCTGTAAATGTTTTGGCGGCTGTGGGCAATCTGTACTAAAACCTCTGCAAATTCGTCGTGAAACACAGTACTATGAAAAAGGACTTCCTAAAAACTGTACCTCAATACATCAGAAGCACTGAAATGAGGTTGCTCGAATGTCCACCGAACGCCGTTGGTTGTTGCACCACACTTGACCGCATTATAGGGCTGTTTGTCGCAGTAACAAAGTGGAACTTTTTTGCTATAAGGTGCGATCGAGCGTTTTCTGCTTGGCGATAAACGCCGAATTGATAAACGTTCGCAAAGAATGACAAACAACCGTCAAGCTGACTGCAGATGTCCTCGAACGATTTGGATTTTTCAGTTGTTTGCAAGGAGACGAGCTCGTGGGAATCGAAATGGCAGTGGACTGTGTTGGTGACTGATTGAACTGTTGGACCATTGGACCACGGAACGATTGTACTTGGGTTTGGGGAGCGAATTGTACGTGATCGTTGGCCTCGTCGTCCGACGCAACTCTCAAATAGCGAATTTAGAGATAACGACTATTACAAGACATATTTATGTAAACAAAACACACTGCTACCTCTCCAACAAAATTGATAGACTGAAAAATGCAAACAAATATTAGACCAAATATGTGGTAGTGAACAAGAGACAACAGATAAAGTCGCAGAATAATTAGGACCTCAGGTATGGGGTTCATGACCACGTAAACAACACAACACGTTAACGGATATTGCGGTCTTATAACGAACCGAGAATTCAGTTAGGATCACACTGGATGAATTTAGCGCAGTTCACAGTTGTTTCACAAATTGATGGATGGATTTAGCGCAATTAGCTGTTTTCACAAATTCTCGACTCACTTAAATATTAAAAGCAACCGCAACACTCACTTCCTCTAATCGTCGCGATCAGAAACACTGCGTCCACTGCGTTCACTTGATGATCTTCGACGTTTTCCATTTTCCTCGGGGCTTACGCTGCGACTGCGATCGGATCCACTTCCACCAGGACTACGTGAACGCGATCTACGTGGTGAGCGGTCTCCATTATCATCCGAATTGCTTCTTCCATTCTAAACGCAAAACATTAGTAAACAACATACTGAATAGATCGCGGTGTAGCAAAGGCATTTGGGTCGAATTCAACAGAGTATACGAGATGGAAAGGATTCCCCCCCCCCTCGCCTACCGATGAATGGGCATTAACTTGTAAAAGAAATCGTCAAAGTACTATAGTCCATCCCTAGTATATACCGACAGAATCATTATAGCACCACACAGACTTTACACAAATGGATTCCATCCCCACTCTGTTCGCTCCACCCAAACGCCTTCCGACAACAGAAACCTACCTTCGCAACAGCAGGACTGGCACTTCTCGATTTCTCACGGCTAGGGGAAGGTGTGCGATCAGCACTATCCCTGGAAGAGCTTCGACTGCGTCTTGCCTTTTTAGGGGATGGGCTGAGAGAGGGAGATCTTTTGGTGTCTTTAGGAGATTCGCTGCGTTTTCTTTTAGGAGATACAGAGTCGTTTCTCTTGCCTGCTACTGGAGAGGCAGATCTACTGAGACTTCTTCCCTTCTTGGGTGAGGGGCTTCTGCTTGAGGTCTTTTCGGGTGAACTTTTCGGCGAGCGCTTATCACGCTTTGGGGTTCTGCTGCGACGCCTGGAGCGACGCTTCTTCTCAGGAGTCCTGCTGCGACTTCTGGAACGGCTCGAGTCGCGCCTTCCACGAGAACGACGTCGCCTCGGAGAAGCACTGCGGCTGCGAGAGCGACTACGTCCTCTTCTGAAATTGTTTACATTGATAACAATGTTTCAAAATCGTACTAAAAGAGTTGTTTTTCAACGATGCATCTTTTACTACACTATATTCGAACTACTTGCTCGTTACGTTGTCATTCCAAACATCTACACTACTCTCGCTCTCTTACATAAAAAAAATACCTGGGTGTTCGGCTTCGTCTACGGTCACGGCTTCGAGAACGCGTGCGGCTACGACGCTTACGATCACGCGAGCGTGAACGAGAGCGGTAGCGGTACACATCGCTGCCATGAGGACGACCTTTGGCAATCTCAACAAGCACCCTGAAAGAAGAAGTTAAGCACAATCAGATATTGGGAAAAGAGGATACTTGACAAAACTGCTCTACTGGGGGTATCTATCACTTCAACGTTTCTACAGTGATGATCAGTAAATCAGATTCTTTTCATTCCAGGTGAAAATGAGCGTTTCGCGTCCGAAGTTCGTAAATTGATTTGATAACATGGGCCTTCAAACAAATAATATGAAACCCCAGACAAAAACCTATGACGGCGCATATATGCACTCCATACTGCCGATATGAAGACGGCGTGGTGGCGTACTTCATCCAAACACGGCGTACGATGTATTGTCTACTATTATTTCCATGAGGGAACTGTCATACTTTCTCGTGATCTACAAGGACATGATGACACCCCCCCCCCCAAGAAAAAAAAAACGGCTACATCATTTCCAATACCCAGGCGCCGCCACATTTAGATAAAGTCCAGCCTGGCCGTCATCCTTAGATTATGATGGTGCAGAACAATCCTTGTGCTATTGGAATGACCCATTTTCCTTTTAGAATAAGGGCTAGATTGTAAGCTATCTTTACGGTAGCTCGCTTACTAGATGCGTAGCCTTTCGAGAGACAAAAAACGCTGAACTGCTCTGGCGATTGTTCAGTCTGTGATCTTAGCGAATTGTAGACAAGAATGCAGGTGCTAACGTATTTGGGGGGGGGGGGGCTCGCGGCGAGCGATGACTCATCTGCTCTTCTGCTCCCTCCTCGGCAAAATAGAAGTAATTTCGTGTTTAGGACATGAATATAACACCGCCCTAAGGTGCTATATGCAAAAGGTAAAACAGTTAACGCTGAAAAGCGCGAAGAAACAACTGTAGGCTGGAAGATTCTTGCCTAATCTACAAGGGAATTAGTTCCGGCCTAGGTGAACCCTTTCGACTGTGAAAAAGTAAAAGTGACTATTAATCAAGTTGACGCAGAACCCAAAGAGGAATCTACTCTAATAGCTCACTAGGAAATCGCAGAAATTGAATCTTGAGCGGTTTTCATGCAATAGAATCACAAGGCATTTCACCCCACCAATTCACTTCACCTGTTACTCGAAGTCCATTTGTTTTCAGCTTCTGTGGGCATTCTCAGCAAGTTCCTGGTGAATCTTGTTTGTTTTATTCTAATTTGGCTGCTAGATTCGCGCTTAAGTATGCCGATGAGTGAAGAGCCGATGAGTCATCACTCGCCGCGAGCCGCGTGGTCCCCCCCCCAACTACGTTAGCACCAAAGTGCATCCTTGTGAAGCGTTGTATGCGTAACTGGAGAGAGAAAACGGCACCCCGGGAGAGAAACGCCGTAGAACTGGCGCATTTTCGAAAATAGCATGATACGTATCAACCAGAAGCATCAGCGATCGTCCTCGCGAATTACTCGTCTTCCCCTCCCCCTTCGCTGACCCTCCCGACCCAGGTCTCCGGGTCAATAATTATCTCAGGATTCCCGTTTGAATCGCCAAAACCTCTCGTGAGCATAGCGTTGGGCTGCAATGGGAACTGAATCATTCATCACTGCAGCAGGATCCGCTCCAGAATTGCCACGCCTAACAATGCTCCCTACCACTGACTTTGAAATTCTAAACAACTCACCTATCTCCCAGAAATGGAGCGTCCATTCAGCTCATCGACGGCGTCCTCTGCATCCCTTTTATTTTCGAATTCAATGAATGCAAAGCCTCTCTTCATGGCGATGTCGGTAATTTTGCCATATCCTTGGAAAAACCTGCAACAAGCTCATACATGGGAATTTCACAAAAAAAAGCAATGTGCTCAACCAACCTTTCAATGTCACTTTCTCGGGCGCGGAACGGAAGCCGCCCCAAGTAAACACGCGCCATCTTCGCCAGCCTGAAAACTAAAACATTCGCGTTTATGACCGTACATCACGTTTCACAACGAAGGCGACAAGTAAACATTCCTTCAAAGCTAGAAGAAACAGAAGACAATGTGACGAAGGCACACATTACAACGCCATCCAAGCGGACGCCGCCTCTAACGAGTGCCACCATTGATCGAGCAGGACTGCGAGAGAAATGAGCGAAACGCGCGAAGTGCGACGCACGCCCCCTCGCGACGCGCCCTTCTCCGAGTAAACTCGTACCAGCGAGCGATGACTATTTGCGAAGGCTGGGTAGGGCAATGTTTGCGGCCGAGTGCCAGGACTTCTGGGTGACACCGGCTCTTCAGTTATGGTTCCGAACATTCCCAAACGTTTCTAGGCTATGTGGGAGGACTCTCACCTCTTTCTTGAAAAATGTGTGGAACACAACAGGGGATTTTTGGTCAGAAGTTTAGGACTAGTCGTGGAGCCAAGTGTGTCTAATGCCCAAGAGAATATGCATGGTAAGATATTTCCCTGTAAAAAACGCGAAAGCACGCAGTTAGTGAGTACTGCGAAGTCTGAATAACCTAACAGACCAACTCAAGCAGTGCTAGGTGGCGTCCATATGCGCAGTGAAAAGTGCAGACGACAAAATGAAAACCTAGGGGAAGAAAAAACCCAAATAAATTTAGGTCGAGGTGAATAACGTCCACACAAAGGACGGCCGAAGACCAATCAATGGCGCACGTGAGATCGACAGCGGACGAGATTGCCCCTTCAAGGTCATCCCTGAATCAGGGTAAATGTTTCGAATATCTTTGGCTCGGTGCCAACGATGGGTTGCTTGCGATTTCATGATGATAATTGCTATTTTAACAGTTTTTTTATAGGCGTTTTTGGTCATATTGTGTACGTATTGTGTATAGAAACGTTGTGTCGATCAAATTAATGTGTTGCTACTTCACCGTTTCAAATAATTAATGATTTCATTAAGGAACATGAAGTTGGTCCGTTTTTTGATGAAACTTATCCATGAGACGGTAACGATCGAACTGAAGAACGGCACTCTCGTCCACGGAGGAATCATCGGTGTAGATGTGGCTATGAACATGCACCTGCGATCGGTAAAGATGACTCCAAAGAATAAGGATCCTATCAGTTTGGATTCCCTTTCCATCCGCGGTAAGTTCGAAACCCTGATTTATTCCATAACCCCACTAATGATAGGGTTCCTGGGAAGCACCTGGACGAATAAGGCTAGGAGAGAGAGCTAGTAGGCAGCGATAGTTATTGCTCCGAAACATCGGGCCAGTTATTGAGTCATGAGTCGGTTTCGAAATTTTGAACCGCAGCGAGAAACAGCAGTTACCAAAGAACCCCTCCCAAAACAGTTGCTAGTAAATGTGGTGGAGAAGTCGATTGAATGTGTTCATACATTGCAGCAGCTTTTGGTTATTTCGAGTGTGGGAAAGTATGTATCGATCTAGCGTTTTGAGAATCAGCGTTTTGGGCGTCCGCCAGCGTCTTCAGCGCCAATCAATATCTGTACATTCTTAGTCGCTCAAAACGCCTTTGGCCAAACCCTATATCGACCTCTCTTTCCTAGTCTCTGGAAACGCTGGTGGAGTCGCAAAACGCTGACGCTAGTTGTAAGAAACGCTGGCACACTCAAAACGCTGACGCTACGAAACGCTGTCAAACGCCGATCGATACCTATATTTTCCCAGTCGCTCGAAACGCTGACAGACGCTTGAAACGCTGCCGGGAGATGTGAGCACAATTTGGGTTTCATTTTTGAATTGATCAGAATGCGCGTACCATTTGAGAGGAAACAAGGTGAGCCAGGTTTGCTCATATGTGTTAATGGGCATCGTTTGTACTGTGTTGACACTGCTCCTGTCTGTCTGCTTTGTCACCAGAAAAATCGTAATTCTGAATGCTGGGAAATGTTACTAGAAATGCTGGGAAAGTGTTACTAGAAACACTTGTGAAATGCTATAGCAATTCTTTTTCAAAGGATTGGGATAATATTAAACGCGTAATATTGTTTCAACTGGTTCCCCAGTACGGTTTCCAGCCATTTCATTCCTCGGGTCAACTATGGTATACAGTTGAACGCAAACTCCTGTGACATATCGATAAGAGTTCGGATTGCGAACGTTTTCATAGGAAAGAACTCTTCTACTAACAAAGTTCATGCCAGTGTTGAAGACTGGTGATCACTGGACGGACTGTTAGCCCACTTCGGGAGGGAGGGGATGCATCGCGCGCTTCCTGCTCCACTATCCGCTTCATAAATCTGGTGAAGCCAGAAAACCAGTTGTCTTATGGAACGGGAGCAAGCTCGTAGAACCACCCCATTGAATGGTATTCGTATGGTATTTCATTGCTCCACAAGAGATGACGGGTGGTCTTTACATACATCGGCTGGTGTCATTTCGTGTCTTCACAAGATTTCACAGGTCATCATTTCAGAGTTCAATGCGTACACGGTAAGTAGCAAAAGTGCAAGATGCCCTCCCCCCTTCGTCAAACTGCGCCGGACTGTTTATGTCTCGTCTATTAATTTTTTTGGTTCCCCGGTAAGCATTAGGCACCTAACTAGGTGATAGCCAGAAGGCATGACGCCAGGTGAGTAGGTGAGGTCATATTCCCTGACCGAGTTCCTTCTTTTGCGTATCATATTTGTCACACCCTTGGCATATGAAGGCACGCGTTATCTTGGAGTGGGAAGACGCTAGGACTTTCCGGTGACTACATAGCCGATGGATATATGGGTGCCAGCGGGAGATTTTGAAGCGTCAGGGTATCCTTGACCGTTGCTCGTTCTCTCTCAAAAGTTCCAGTATATACCCTTCTCATTGAAAGAATCGTCATCGAATATATTGTGCATCAAGGAACAGGGTTTTTAATGTCTGGGACTACGTTCGACAAAACGTCTCGACAAGGTTATGTAGTCAACTTTTCAATAGCTGGCGTTAGCTATGAAGTCTGCTCGAGCAGAAAATCGGACTCACACGACATTTTAGGAGACTGCTCCATTTTTGAGGACTTTGCACATTAATCCTTCAAAGCCCCGAGAACGCAAATGATGAATTTGCATAGTTCAGATAAGCCTTATCGCTTGGACTGCTGGGAGCTTCATAGAAGACATATCCTTACTTGGGAAATTTACTTCAGATTAGCCTAAACATCTTCTTATTTATTTATTTATTTATTTACACCATAAGGTGTGCCACAAATTGCTACACTATAATAAACTCGCTGAAACTTAATATTTCCACTAAACATTAAGACAGAGAGAAGGAGCACACGCTATTCATACTACTTCCTGAGAAGAGAAAAAAAGGTTATAAGTGAAGATGATTCAAACACTTGTAATATAGTCCTCCCCTTGACAGTTGACAGTTCTTGTCCCGGGAACACTTCACATTACTGAGCAGATTGGTGATCTTGTCAAATGCAAAAGTACAGACTAAAGAGGCTCTCTTTCTTTTCAAAAGCGCAAATTTTCAATTACTTACATAGATAGAGTAGTTTTTACTTGTCAGTAGTTTTTAGCGTGTATTCGGTCCGTTTGTAGTGGCGAGATTGAACCCCGCCATGCAAAGTGGTAGATAAAAAAAACTTAGTCTCTTCTAATTTTCGCTCGCTATATTTTGGCCAAGACGACTTAAAGACAGCTCTTGCGCCTAAAGTGTCACGGATAGCTGCTCCTCAGTTATGGAACAGTAGCTGACAGTAATTCCCCAAAGAAGAAAAAAGCAAGATGAGTCCTCAGGAACATTATAAACAAAATTGCTCCCTGACATTTACACCGTCCTGCGGGTCTCTGTGCAATCCTTGGCTCACAAATCACTCATCTCTCAGTATTAAATATCATCCAGTGCAAAGAAAAGGAAACGAAAAACAACAAAAACAATGAAGCAGACTCGTAGCAAAAGAAGATTGTCGAAAACTGCGTACGAATTTAGGATTGCGGCAAGCATAAACTTCGTTTGCACCAAACAATAGTAGCAGTGATGATCTGCACAAGTCTTACCTTACGAGGTGGATTGCTGTTGACCGTATGTGCTCCCAGTGAAGAAACGTAATGGAGGAAAGCAGAATTACTCAGGAGCACGAGCGCGGTCAGCAAAAATGGACACCCAGTTTGGATTTCTGCCCGCAGCTCGTACGCACAACAACTGAGCGCCACGGTGTTAGTTGTGGAAAGCAGGTTCGCTGGGTAGGCGTTCTAACTGAGTGGGTCTTAGAACTAGAACTTTCGGCGGCTGTACGGTTGTCTCACTTTCGCGACTCCACTTGCTGTGGAGTCGCGAAAGTGAGACAACTTCTTGGCTTGGGGCTGGACTATTTCCACAAAGAAGGTCGACCACGAATTACTTGATCAGGGACTGTCTCCAAGCAATAATAAAGATACCAGCTCGTTTAAGTGACAAACAACGGCTTTGTTGCTGGTTTCGTCAATGCCCAAGGTTGTAGCCGGTGTGGTTTGAGCGAAGTCTGACCAGTAGCTCCGACCAACCAAGCGACTGTAAAGAACTTGATGCTATGTGCTTCCGCATCGTTTGGAAGTTAGTAAATTTAGCCGAGTATCCGTCAAATTTGGCCAACACAGCTACAGAATGGAAACTCGAGAAATGAAAAGAAACCTGAGAGGTCGAAATCAGCGCCGGATTTTCGAATCGTGCCTCATACCAGGAGTGTACGCTGTTCGTTAGTCCTGTCAGCATTGTCCAGTAATATTTATGTACGCCATCATATTACTGGACAGTGCTGCAAACAATAAAATTTTATGCAGCCACAGCACTTGTTGAGAAAACGGACGTGCTAGGTGTCTATTCGCTCCTGAGACACTAGGAGCGGGTCATCGATGAAAGAGGCATATACACAATTTGGAAGCCAAATTATGCTTTTTTTTATTGTTTTCTCTTCATTTTATGTGAACAAAATCTCCCATGGATGAGGTAATCCTGATAATTCAGTAAATAAAGTATGATTTTAATGACCATCCCAACAAGGGTTGTGATGACTTCGCCGTTATCGATTCCTTGTTGGGATGGGTTCGCACTACTTCCACTCAGTATCGCAGTGGCTTAGTGGATGCAGTTTCGCCAGTAGAATAACTTCTGGGACCAACCGATGTACAAGACAGTGTTCTTATCCTCCCAGACGTCTCCAAGTGCTGCCCATGGAGGGTAGAATGTACAGTCGTCCTCGGAAGCCTATCTGGGATTTGTGCCCCGGTCTGGGATGAGATAGTCTAACAAGAAGTCTGTGTGGTGCTCCTGATGGAAACATGAAATTGTTTATTTCCCTCTGCACCACATTTTCAGTTTATATGGAAAGATTGTAGAGATCTCAACGTAATGAATATTGGAAATGTGATAGGTTCCGTTTGTTAGTGAGTAATCGCTTCCATTAAAAGGTTGTGAATGGCAGTTGAATACGATTATATGATGATACGTTTTTACGAACGCGAACGTGTTTTGAACGCGCTAAATTAGTGTTTCTCTGTTTCCACTCAAATCACTTTATATTTCTTTGAAAGGTATAACTTCTTTCAGGAAACAATATTCGATATATAATTCTGCCGGATTCTCTCCCGCTGGACACCATGCTCATTGATGATGAGCCGCGTAAGAAGGCAGCCAGAGCTCGTGCTGGTGCTCGTGGCAGAGGACGTGGTGGTCCTCGTGGAAGAGGCAGGGGTGGACCACGTGGCCGCGGTGCACCTCGTGGAAGAGGTCGCTAAGTTGGTCAGTTCTTGTCACGTAAATTCTTTTGACTTCTGTATCAGGAAAATAACCTGGAACACGGATCTAAATGTTATGCAACACAGGCTCAAAAATTTTTGCCAGAAATCTTGTGAACTCTTCTGAATAATTTTCTCGTCCTACGTGGCTTGCATAATATTTAGATCGTGATTCTTGATAAAGCTCCGCTGCAGCAAATAATCAGATGACATTTCGGTGTCAAGTGTTTCATAAATCCGTATGTAAAACCATTTATTGTAGCATATTTTTTGGCTGAAGTTTTCCAATCTCATCCTGAAAGTCCGCGTTTCATCAGTAAGTCTGCATTGAGTCTGCGAATATGGGGAGTCAGCCTG